GATTTGAAATAACCATAATACTCATCTGGGGTCCCTTCCTATTTATTCTTCTTTGGGTTAAGACAGCTCTTAGCATAGATTACAAGTATGTAATTATAGAGGACCTAATTATATCTATCCTTGAGCCCAGAAATCAGTTAAAGTTTTCATCTGGGGCCCAAAGAAAATTCCAGGGGAGGGAGATTTAATGAAACTGGCCAAAAAGAGGCAAAATTAAAAGGCATGAAACTGTATTGTTCCCCACCACACCCAAATGCACATTTAAACCACTTGATCTTCCTGAGAAAGGAAGTTTCCTTTTATTACCTTCCATAGTCAATGATAACTGATTTTCAACAAAAAAAAAAAACATAAAAATGGTTATATATCCTGCCCTCCCATCACACAGGATCATTAAGAATAACAAAAAAAATTGTAATACAAAGTCATTAATTTCAAGGTATAGAGCTGCTTCCAGTGTGCATGGTCTAGTTGGAGGGCATGCCTCAGTGCTGCCAAGGCCCTGGCTGGCTGTATTGAATGACTTTCTCCCTCATCCTCTAACTCCTAAATACTTGACACCCAGCACTATCTTGACTTCACTACAGGGACACTGCATACCAGACAGACCAGAAATTCTTATGAGGTGTGATAAAGCTTTCAAGTCTATCAGCTGAACAGGAGGCAGAGGAACAAATTTCTGTAACAACCAGGGTAGGAAGCAGACTTACAGAATATAAGCTGAATTTTGCATTTTCGGCATAAGAAACCCAAGAGCAGAATTAAATGATTTATCACAAAAGGTAACAACAATCTTGATAAAAACCCAGTAAGTAAGTTTACCTTACAAACTAGGTAACTTCCTACATAATCAATTTAAATATTTCCTAAACTTTTATTATCTTTCAATTCAACATGTCAGAATTCATTTTGATCAGTGTCACCGCTGTCCATCATTCTCCCTAATCTGTCCCATCCTCTCAAACAGGTTAGGATTTTTCATGTTTTGACCAGTTCAACATCCATTCCCTAGCTCATCTCCAGTCTGATATTTTTTAAACTTCATACAGTAGATCATTAAGGAAAGTTAAGTCAAATCTACACCAAAAGGACTTTGCAGTTATCAAACACATACTTGGCTAAGAAAGCATACACTTAAGCCAAACACTGGTGGCTCAGGCCTGTAATCCTGGCAACTCACTCAGGAGGCTTAGATCTGAGCAAAGTTCAAAGCCAGCGTGGACAGGGAAGTCTGTGAGACACTTATCTCCAATTATCCACTAGAAAAATGGAAGTGGAGTTGTGGCTCAAAGTGGTAGAGTGCTAGCCTTGAGCAAAAGAGTCCAGTGTTCAAGCACCACTACATTACCAACAACAAAAAAAAAAACCTTAAACTTAAAACTATTATCAAAAAGTAAGGTAAAGATAAATGCTCATGATACTGCTACATTAACAGTACCAGCCACCCAAAATTATAAAATACACTTTCAGAGCAACGTGTGTTCTTTCCCTACCAAATATCAGCACTTCCAGTTCTGCTCCCCAACCCAATACATACTGTGTTATAAAAGCAAGGACATCTAAGAGGCAACCTCTGTTACAGGTTTAGGCTCTGCTACTCCACAGTAGACCTCTGCAGTGTGAAAACTGAGGCTAAGCTGTTCTAATAAAACATCCAAAGCATGGTGCTGGGCTCAGCTAAGGGGCCATAATTTGCTCATCCCAATGGAAGGGTTAAATATTCAAGTCTGTTAGTTCTGTCCCTGTGCCACAGTGAGCTTATCTCCCCTTGGTGTTTATTTCCTTTCCCCATGAGTCCTAGCTAGATTAGAAATTTTCAAACATTTTGAATGGCGAATCTCCTTTTTCCAATAAAAATTAAAATATGGTCACTAGACCTCAGATTCCTCAGCCTTCCCTTATAAAGTCACTGAAGAGCTCCAGATCATCAAGTATCTAAGACATATTGAAAGCCATTTAATATCAAAAAATAGCAATGACACACAAGTCTACCTAAGGGGTTGTCTCAGGCATGCTCGGAGGCTTGAAAAGTATCCCATAGATTTCAGGCCTTTCATATAAGCAAAATGTACTACAGAGAGAAGCACGCCTATTTGTGCATGCACACACATGCTCTCAACAGTTCTAGCACTTGAATTCTGGGCTTTGTATTCTTGCTTGGCTTTTTCACTCAAGGCTGACACTCTATCACTTGAGCCACGGCTCCACTTCTGGCTTTTTGCTGGTTAACAGGAGATAAGAATCTCATGAATTTGTCTGCCAGCTGACCTCAAATCATGACCTTAGATCTCAGCCTCCTGAGTAGCTAGGAATTACAGGCATAAATTACTAGCACCTGGAAAGCCCTAATCTGAAAATCTAAAATCAGAAATGCTTCAAAAGCTAAACCTTTGTGAATCCCACACTATGAAACTTTTTGTTTTATGCACTAAATTGTTTTAAAATATCATTTTAAAAAATTACCAGTAGTCTATGGTCAGGACATACATAGAAGACATAAAAGGAATTTTACGGTTAGACTTGGGCCCTATCCACAGGATATCTCATTATGTATATACAAATATTCCCAAATGGGGGAGGGGCCCAAAGTACATTTGGTTTCACCACTTTGGGAAAGGGTATAGTCTACTTATATCTCCTTCTATGAGGAAGTCTACATGTCAAATTTTAAAATACAACATAAGTAAGAGTACAAGTTAAATGTTATTCCAAGTTGTCTCTCACTAAAAATTAGTGAGCTGGTGGCTCACGCCTGTAATCCTAGCTACTCAGGAGGCTGAGATCTGAGGATCGCAGTTCAAAGCCAGCCCAGGCAGGAAAGACTGTGAGACTCCTATCTCCAATAAACCACCAGAAAACCGGAAGTGGTGCTGTAGCTCAAGTGGTAGAGCCCTCGCCTTGAGCTGAAGAGCTGAGGGACAGCGCCCAGGCCCAGAGTTCAAGGCCCACGACCGACAAAAAAAAAAGGCAACCAATAAGGACAATAGAATTTCTCTGGAGCACACTAATCTATTTCTGACACTACACTTAACTTGATCAACTCTTTGCAATCATTCAACAATTTAAAATGTTCCATCAACATTCATCAAGGCAGGGGCTCTACAAATCCAACAGAGAATTGACAAATGGGATTACATCAAGCTAAAAAAGTTTCTGCATGATAAAGGACATAGTTACTAACCTAAAAAAACAACCTACAGAATGGGAGATCATCTTTACCAGCTATACATCTTCAAGGACTTATTATACAGAATATGTAAGGAGCTCAAGAAACTAATCCCCTCCGTGAAAAAAAAAGCAATTATCCAATTAATAAATAGTCAAATGAGCTACATAGATTCTTCTTGAAAAAGTAAGACAGGCCAATAAACACATGAGAAAATGCTCAACATTCCTGGTACAAAGGAAATACAAATCAAAACAACATTGAGATTCCATGAAAGATTGGTCATCCTCAAGAACACAAACAACAACAAATGCAGCCAGGGATGTGGGAAAGGAACACTACTGTTGGTGGGAATGTAAACTACTGTAACCACTCTGGAAGGCAGAGAGGTTCCTTAAAAATTAAACATAAAATGGGCTGGGAAGGTGGCTCAGTGGTAGAGCGCTTGCCTTGCATGCATGACACCCTGGGTTCAATTCCTCAGTACCACATAAGCAGAAAAAGCCAGAAGTGGTGCTGTGGCTCAAGTGGTAGAGCACTAGCCTTGAGCTGAAGAGCTGAGGGACAGTGCCCAGGCCCAGAGTTCAGGCCCCACAACTGGCAAAAAAAAAAAAAAAATTAAACATAAAACTATTCTATGATTCAACAACACCACTCTTGGGCATCTATCCAGAGTGTTACCAGTGAGGATACACTAAAGTCACTTGCACGCCCATGCTCATTGTTGCACTAGTCATAGTAGCCCAATGATGGAAACAGCCCAGGAGTCCTACAAGGGATCAGTGGATCAAAAACATTTGAACTATCTAACAAAATTTTACTCATCAAAAAGAATATTATGTCATTTGCAGAAAAATGGATGGACCTAGAAAAAATTATGACAAGTCAAGTAAATCAGGCTCAGTGAGACAAACAGCATATATTTTCTCTCATGTGTGTAAGTTAAACCTAAAATACAAACATACATGAAAATATATACAGGATTATATGCATGCATACACATACACACACACACACACACACACACACACACACAAATTTAGTAAAGGATGGTATACTTTAGAAAGAAATCCAATGGTGTAACTCTTCTGAACTACTAATAAACCATTTAGCAAAATGGATAGCCCATGGAAAGGAGGGAGTGAGATTAAGGGAGGAAAAGTAAGCAAATAAAATCGTCATATTGAATGTACATTATGTAAAAACTGAACTGAAGGTAGGGATGGGATGATGAAAAACAGAAGAAAAGGAGTAACACTGATCATGATGCATGGTCCTCATAACCTGGGTGCTAGACTGGAACCCCTTTGTACAACTAGTAAATAAAAAGTCATTTTTAAAAAATGCATCAAGGCTATATCTCTATAAAAGTCAACAATGAGCAAATCAAGCCTAAATATAAGAACTAAATTTAACAGTGTAGGTGTCATTAATTTACTCTTTGACAGAATCTCAAAATAATAATTTTTAAAACCTATTATTACAGAACAAACATGTCATAGGAGCCAGTTAAAGACATTCCACCATTAAATGTCAAGTGAAATACCACAGGAAGGCCCATTTCAAAATATCAGTCTCAAAGTGATTAAACTTCAAAGGAGGCTACTGCCTCCTTTGTGTTAGTTACTTATTTCTATAAAGAAGTACTTGTTACAAACATTGAATCAAAACTACTGCTTCTTTTCAGCTTTTCTTCAATGTCCTATCAATCTACAAGTATATAATTACCTTTTTCCTAGTATCCATCAACTCTCAAGAAAGCAAGATCAAGTCATTAAACATTTATCAGCTCCTATTCTCTACTAAAAGAAATGCTAAACACTGAGATTTCAAGATGAACAGTAAGTCCCAGTCCAATAAATATTCAGTCTAGTGGGGCTAATTGACATAGTTCAAGTTAATCTGTTTTAAATGAAAACAAGATCTCATTTTAGCTAACCATTTTGTTACTGGTAAGCATAGAGGCTATTTGTCATCTTTAAATATGCTACGTTTTCATAAACTGTTTCATTGGGAGTTTAATATGTGCTTAAAAACAAGTCTTTGAGGATGAATTTAGTCCAAGTAGGTGGTCTATGTATGTATGAAAACAGGATAAAACCTGTTGTATTAGAAAAGAGGGAGAGGGAGAGAAGGACAGATGGGTAAGACTGATTGGAATACACTGTATATAGGAATGGAAATGTCACAATGAAATCCTGTCCCCATAACTAACATATGCTAATTTTAAGAAATCCTTACATAGACTCTAGTTTCTTACTTGCTATAACCCCACCAAAACAAATTATTTTTGAAAACAAAGTATTTTAAAAAGGCAAACAAGGACTGGAGTTGTGGTTCAGTGGTAAAGAACCATCTAACAATCTGAGTTCAAATTCCAGTTCTATCAAAAACTAGAGAGATCCCAAAGATCAAGGTGAGAGGCTGGCCTGGACAAAAAGTTGGTGAAACCTATCTCATTCAATAAGTACTGAGGAGGCAAAGATCAGGAAAGAGGGGATGATCCCTAGTCTAAGGCATGCTCTGACTAAAAACAGGAAGACTCAATCAGAAAAATACTAAAACCATTCATCTACTGAGGGGCATCTGGGTTGGTTCCATATCTTACCTATAGCAAATAATGCTGCAATAAACATAGTTGTGCTGGTAGCTTTAGTGTGGTCTTGTTTGTAAACATTTGAGTAAATGCCCAAAAGTGGGATTGCTGGGTCATAGGGGAGCTCTATGTGGAGTCTTTTGAGGAACCTCCATACTACTTTCCAAAGTAGTTGAACAAGTTTACACTCCCACCAACAATGAAGTCAGGTTCCCTTCTGTCCACATCCCCTCCAGCATCTGTTGTTAGTAGAGTTCTTGATTATAGCCATTCTAACTGGGGTGAGGTGGTATCTTAATGTTGTTTTAATTTGCATTTCTTTTATGGATAGGGAGGTTGAGCATTTCTTCATGTGTCTATTGGCCATCCTTCTTTCTTCTTCAGAGAAGTTTCTCTTTAAGTCTTTAGCCCACTTATTTATTGGGCAGTTGTTTCTTTGAAGATTTGCTGTTGGGGATTTATTTTTTGAGTTCCAAGTATATTTTAGATATGAGACCCTTGTCTGTTGTATGGTTAGTGAAGATCTTCTCCCAATCCCTGGGCTTTCTATTGATCTTGCTAGCTATGTCCTTTGCCATGCAGAAGCTCTGCAACTTTATGCAATCCCATTTGTCCAACCTTTCTTTTATTTGTTTTGTTTCTGGGTCTCTATTAAGAAAATTTCGGCCTACGCAAAGGAGACCTAGGGTTTGAATGGATCAAGAAAATATGGTATATATACACAATGGAATTCTATGCCTCCATCAGAAAGAATGACATTGCCCCATTTGTTAGGAAATGGAAAGATGTGGAAAATATTATATTAAGTGAAGTAATAAGCCAAGCCCAAAAAAACATAGGTCCCATGGTTTCCCTTATTTGCAATATCTAGTATATGTATGAGTCAAGCAGAAAAGGTCAGATAAGATGATGTTAGGAAAATGAACCCTAAGATATGTATTCAAATGCTTTTTTGTTCTTTCATGGATTTGTTTCTAACGCATTTATAAGATTATTTCTTTGTTGCTTTGTATGTCCCTCCCCCACAGTATAACCCCTGCTTTCACTGTATTTGATGTCGGTATAATTTGTGGAGGGGAAGGGAAAAAACAAGTCTTTAAATAAGAATACAGGTGGCCCCATTGCAACAATGATAAGTACAAGTTGTCATGTCAAAAACGAACTTTACAACTTTGGTGGGGGGGGAGAAGAATTGGGGGGGGCGGGAGAAGGCTGGGAAGGGGAAACAAAGGAGGAGGTTACAAAGCTTGATAAGAAATGTACTCATTTTCTTGCCCATCTAATTGTAACCCCTCTGTACAGTATTTTCACAATAAAAAATTTAAAAAAAAAAAGAAAAATACTAAAACCAAAATTGGCCAAGTGTGTGGCCAAGTCATTGAATTCAAATCCCATTGCCATCCAAAAAAAAAAAAAAAAGTATTGGTTCACCTTCTGGGAAAAATGATAGAAAATCTTAATATCCCAGAAAAAGGAGTATTACAGGCAGAAATATAAGTAAACAAAAAAAAAATCAAATGAGCCGGGCAAACTGGCACATACCCGTAATCCCAGCAATTCAGATGTGGAAGCAGGAGTTTGAGATCACCCTAGACTATCTCAAAAAGCCAAACACTGAGTACAATTTTTTTAATTTTAGAAATAAGCTTGAAAGACTGGGAAGGTGGCTCAGTGGTAGAGTACTTGCCTTGCATGCATAAGGTCCTGGGTTCGATTCCTCAGCACCACATTAAGCAGAAAAAGCCAGAAGTGGAGCTGTGGCTCAAGTGGTAGAGCACTAGGCTTGAGACAAAGAGCTAAGGGACAGTGCACAGGCCCAGAGTTCAGGCTTCACAACTGACTAAATAAATAAGTAAATAAATAAATTGGAAACAAAAGGCTCACTTATAAGCATCAACCTGTTTTAAATTCCTAAATCAATAGATATGGCATTTAGAACCCAGTTACCATAAAAATTGTTATTTAAGTCAAATGTGATTTTTTTTGGTAGGTTATGGGGCTTGAACTCTGAAATGTGGTATTTTATAAATATGTGTATATAATGCTCATCCACTAGTATTTTATCCCTATTTTTATGAGTTACTGAGGTTCAGATAATTAATAATGGAACACAGAAGTTAGCAAAAAAGTTGAGTTATCTCTGTATGATCCATAACTGAGAAATAGAACTTTCAAAGAGGTCTCCTGAAAATCATTGCATAAACTTATCAATCATCTACTTCCTAAGCAAGTAAACTGGACAAAAATGCTATTGGATCATAATAACCATTAACCTTAATTTCTTCTTTTCCTATCTGCCTATATGCTACTGTGAGGCATAAAATTTCCAACCTCCACTATAGCCAAGAATAGCATGAACATAGCTCTGGCCAATAATAAGTACCTGCACAAAGACTGTCTTTCAAAATAAAAAGGTAGGTGCCGGGCAGTGGTGGCTCATGCCTATAATCCTAGCTTCTCAAGAGGCTGAGATCTAAGGATAATGGTTCAAAGCCAACCTGGGCAACAATGTCCATGAGACTCTTATCTCCAATAAACCACCAGAAAAAACAGAACTGGTACTGTGGCTCAAGTGGTAGAGTGCTAGCCTTGAGCCAAAGAGCTGAGGGACAGCACCCAGGCCCAGAGTTCAAGCCCCACAACCAACAACAACAACAAAATTAAAATTAAAAAAATAAAAAGCTAGGGTTAGAGGCATGGTAGAATACCAACCTTGAGTGGAAAAATTCAAGTGAAAGATTGAGGCCCTGAGTTCAAGCCCCACTACTGATATGAAAGGAGGAGAATAGAGACTGAGAGAGATAGAAGAGAGGGAAGAGAATTGGGTAAAGAGGGAGAAAGAAGGAAGGAAGGAATGGCCAAGGATGTAGTTCAGATATAGGTACTGGTCTAGCACCCAAGAGACCTTAGGTTCCATCTCCAAAGAAAAGATTTTCAAACTTTCTCCCTTTTCCCAGCTTGATAAACACAATCTTGTAACTTTAAAAGCTAACATCCCTTGCTAAGGGAAAGGCTCAAAACACTGCTGACCTTTCAGTTTCTTACTTGGCCACACAATGTGTAGTTTAAAGTAACTGCAGACTAATGCAACTGAGTATACCTAAATTAACTTACATTATAACTCACGTCAGTAAGTTAATGTGCTGTACTAATGATGAAACATTATAAGAAAAGTAAAGATTAGAGTACTAAATAGCAAATACTAAAAAGCAGTACATTTAATATACATAATATTAATATTATAAAAAATGTATTTAATCTTCACAATGAATGTATTAATATTGTCATATCTAACCGGGGTAAAATTTCCATCAACCTTTGACAAAATCAGAATAAAGGTGTAAACAAAGTTAACATTATTTACTGTAAGATTATCACCTTCCTGTTTTTGTAATAGTAGCATATCCTGTCTTAAGTGAGAAAAGAGGATAATACCTAGTTTAAATTTATTTTAACATGCTTACCTGGCAAAACAGGTTTTTATAGTCTATGACATAAACTCAAAGAGACATAAACTTAAGAGACTGCTAGGTTAGGTGTCTGCCCACAGCTGTGCTGCCTGACTCCAAAGTCCAGGATTCAGTTACATGAAATAAATCAGTTACATGATGGAAATACACCACATACTCAAAACATTTTTGTAAATACAAACAAAACTAAAGATAGAAATCTGTAACTACAAAAGAAAACAAGCAGATCAGAGGAAGTGGAAGCAAGGACTTTTAAAGTGAAAAGGCTTTACCAAGAGTTTTCAGTAACTGTGATGCAGATCTAAAGCATACCAGAGAAAATGGAATCAAGGCCAGAATTCCCACCCATTCCAACTTATGTCTCAAAGGAGAACTAGGTCTGGAGGTTCACATGTGGGAATAAAGAATTCTGGAATCTACATTTAAAAACCAGTTGTGGTATCCCAAGTCCCAGGAGGGAACATGCAGCAAATGGCTTTCCCCTAAAGTTTCTCCTCCATTGCTTTCAGCTCCTAGGCCTAGGAGAAGTTTCAACTCCATTGCTTTCAGCTCCTAAGCCTAGGAGGAAGCATATTCCTGAAAAATTAAAAAGAAACTGAGATGCTGTAAATTCTTCCTTACCTCAATTCTTTGCACTCTATTAATAGTGCATTTCAATTTTTCAACTCAGCAGTTTTTAGTGCTCATTTCAACTTGTTTGGCAATATGTGTTTTTGATCAAGCAGTTTATCAATATAACAATGAAAAGATCAGTGATCCAATACTTTTTCACACTCTGACCTAATATTTTCTAGTAAGTGTGTGTTAAAAAGAAATTAGAGCTATATGTGGTGGTATATGCTTGAGATACATACAGCATTCTGAACTTCAAGGCCAGCCTAGGCTACACAGTAAGATTCTGTCTCAGGGCAAACAGGCAAATAAACAAAATAGTTTGCAGGATTATATATAAAGTAGCTTAGAGGAAAAAAGATCAGAAGTTTTCTGCCATGCAGAATTTAAACAGTTAATTATACTAAAAAAATAAAAGAGGAAAGTCAAATATTCAGTCTACATACAAAATGTTTATGTTTTCATTCTATTTTCTTATAAGATTTTAGGTATCTAGCCTAAAATAAGTGTGTGTCCTCAAATACAATTTTATCACCAAAACTCTCAAACAAAAATCTCCCAAAATAAAGAAAACAAATGGTTTAAGCCTGGCCAGTTGAAATCCCAGTACTGAAAGAATGAGATAGAAGGATATGAGTTTTAAGCTAAGTCCTGGCTACACAGCTAGTCTGGCTTATCAAGGTTAAATTATTATCATGAAAAAAATTAAATCTTTTTTTAAAATCATTTAGTAACTCCTTTCGAGGGTCACAAAATAGCTCCATAGTTATACTTCCAATTTTTTGTGTGTTTTGTTTTAATGTCTCTGTGCCCTGTGCATAGCTCTACTTGAGCTATGCCTCCAACCCTTTTTTTTTTAAGTTACAAAAATAGTTCAAAAATACTATGTCCCGGGGCTGGGAAGGTGGCTCAGTGGTAGAGCACTTGCTTTGCATGCATGAGGCCCTGGGTTCAATTCCTCAGCACCACATAAGCAAAAAGAAAAAAGCCAGAAGTGGTGCTGTGGCTCTAGTGGTAGAGCGCTTGCCTTGAGCTGAAGAGCTGAGGGACAGCCTCCAGGCCAGAGTTCAGGCCCCACGACCAGACCCAAAAAAAAAAAAAAAAATTCTATGTCCCCTTGAGCAACTAAAATAAGCATAGACAATTACCTCAGTATTCAAATTTCACCCATTATTCTAAGTATTTTTCAGGTCTAGAGTCAATCCCAGAACCCACTGTAACCCTTAGGAACAGGATTTCCTTAAATTTCTTCTCCATCCTCTACTTTCAATATTTCTGGAGAATACTAGCCAATTATTTTGCAACAAATTTTAGTCTGTCTGATCTGTCTGGTATTTTCTCTACTTAGATTGACCTAAGTAGTAGCAATAAGACTACTAAGCTAAGGGTATTGCACTATGAAGATCATGACTGAGGCTGTGGGTTCAATTCCCAGCACTACCAAACAAAAAGAATAGCACAATTATTTTCCTTGCAGTTTTTCAGAGACAAACAATGTATCTCAGTATTGATGATGTTAACTTTGATCACCAAAAGTGACCATGTGAATCCCACTTTTGCTGACTTTGTCTACAGTATCTATGCTACAAATCACTCAGTTGATGCTGGCCTGGTGGTGAGTGTATGCACCAAACCCTTGAACCCAAAGCACAAAGTAGGCATACTAGCAATTTTATTATAGCATATTGCTATAACATTTTTTAAAATTTTATTGTAAAGATGCCATACACAGGGGTTACAGTTACATGAGTAAGGCAATGAATACATTTCTTGTCGAGCATTGTTACCCCTTCCCTTGTTGTTCTCCTCACTATCCCTTCCCTCCCCGACATCTTTCAACTCCCCCCCCCCCCGCCCCTAATTTGTGAAGTTCAGTTCCAATATACTGTCTTGTGGGTATCATTGTTGCAATTGCTAATCTCTTACTAATTTATAATGTAAACTATATTACAAGTGTGAATGTGTAAGAAAAACACATATAGGTTCAATATTATCTCAGTTTCCAGCATACAGTGGGGATCCTGGAACACATCCCCTACAAATAAGAAGGCTATTTGTACATCCATCAGACTTCCTTTTGGTTAAAATAAAAATAATGTCCATGGAGTGATTTCTTTGAATGAGATCATGACAAGCATATAGCTAACTTTACTGCTTCTAGTTCTATCCCAAATGTTGTACCATTGCAATTCTTGTTCATCCAAGACCTATGACCTTTTGTCTATTATCTTATACTATTATTTTAGAATTCTTTCTTTAGTACCACCATTTAAATACATCTCATCTTGCCCTATCAATCCCATTACTTATTTGAGGAACTCATGGCCAAACCATTCAGTGGTGATAGCAGAAATTTGTTGGGGATGGGGGCAATCTCCCAAAAGTCACATACTTTATTATTCCATTTATGTAACAGTTAAATGACAAAATTATAGAAACAGAGAATAAATTAATAGTTGCCAGAGTCAGAGTTGTAAAGGGCCAGCCAGAGGAAGTTCCTTTTTGTTGGTGATGGTGGTGGTCATGGGGCCTGAACTCTGGGCCTGGGTGCTGTCCCTCAGATCTTCACCTCAAGGCTAGCACTCTACCACTTGAGCCACAGTGCCACTTCCGGCTTTTTCTGCTTATGTGGTGCTGAGGAATCGAACCCAGGGCCTCATGCGTGCAAGGCAAGCACTCTACCACTGAGCCACCTTCCCAGCCCCAAAGAAAGATCTTTGATGGAGGAATTGTTATTCATATTCTAGTGGTGACTACTGATGGAAGAAATGGTACAAGAATCCATTTATTACTTCTTCCATGGAAGATTAATCTACAAGTGTCTCAAAGGGAAATATTCAATGCAAAAAAAAGAGAATCAGCCAAGTTTGGTGGTAGTACATGTATACCTGTAATCCCAGCACTTGAGAGGCTGAGACAGAAAGAACGAGAGTTGTAGGCTTAGTTTTGAGTACATAGTAAGACCCCATCACCAAAATAATAATGATAATAATAACAACAATAGTAATAATCAGTTCACTCTATAATGAACTCTCAGGAGAAATAAGATAATCACCATGGTGCCCTAACCTTTAGATGCATTGTTAGCTTCTAGAAAGTTACAATGAGGCTTCCCCAGAGTGACTAGTTAATGACAAATTCTTATTTAAAGTGTCCTTTCTACCTTTTATGTTGAATTAGAATCAATTCCATGGTTAGGAAAAAAAGTGCCAAAATCCAGATATTATGGTGAGTTTCAGCTTATCAACTAAGCATCCAAACAGGAACAAATTGTCTAATTTTATTTCACTTTGTTTCTTTTGCTCATATTAAATACCAAAAAAAAAAATTCTGAAGTCCTACAATCTATAATTTTCAATTTATAGGAAGTAATGAGAAAGTTCAGCTAACAGTTTATTTCCAATAACAAAAATAAAAAAGATTCCTCTTTTCAAGTTCCCAACACTAGCTCCTCCATACCATGACTTATGCACAACAGATATGAAGTGCAGAAATAGAGGAACCCAGACAACACAAGGACTAAACTTTCCTCCACATAACCTAGCCTTACCAAGACTGCATCAAAGTTAGCTCCTTTTAGACTGGAGGGGAAAAAAAAAAACCTACCTACATCAAAAAACATTTCATATTATATTCAGTAAGAGGTGGTTAACTAGCATGTGGGGGGCAGAGGAATGTCATGAAGAGACAGAAATTCTTAATAGTTAAAATAATGTGGCAACAATTTTTCATCATAAAAAGATGATATTATAACCCTACTGAACGTAATTGTTACTAGGTATGTTCCAGTTCTGACAAAGCTACAAAAGATCAATAATATGTACTAAAAATTGCTACTCTACTACCTAATTTACCATTCTTAATCCAATCAAAATACACTATTAGAAGGAGTACTGTTAATAGTCTGAATAAATGATACCAAGACAGAAATAACAGCTTGATTCCTTTAGTGGAGGAATTGGAAGATGCTGGAAATTAGGAGGTGGGGCGTAGTCACTGTGGGTGTAGGTCCTGTAGGATTCCAGCCCCAACTCTTTCTCTGGCCAAATTGTTTAGACATACACTCCATACACTGCCATATGAGACCCTCCCTCTTCCCCTACCCCCCACCCCCACCCCACCAGTCCTAAAAGTGATAGGCCTGGCAAGGCTTGGCAAGGCTTTAAAACACAACCTTCAAAACATTTGAGACACAAGAAGCTTTTAGTACGTATTTCAGGTATTTGTTAGGAAAGATGACTAACCCAGAGAGTGAAGAAACGGTCTCAAATACTGACTCCAATCATTACATTGTGCGAGCATATTGTACAAGTCAACTAGTTTTTCAAAAGAAAGAATCTTTAGCTATCACATTATCATCATAGATTTAAAAACTAGTCTTTGGAGGGCTGGGAACGTGGCTCGGTGGTAGAGCACTTGCCTTGCATGCCTGAGGCCCTGGGTTCGATTCCTGAGCACCACATAAGCAAAAAGAAAAAAGCCGGAAGTGGCACTGTGGCTCAAGTGGTAGAGCGTTGGCCTTGAGCTGAAGAGCTAAGGGACAGCACCCAGGCCCAGAGTTCAGGCCCCATGACCGGACCCAAAAAAAAAAAAAAAAACTTGTCTTTGGAGAATGCTTCCTCTGTGTAGAACTTCTGGGTCTTCCTGAGGTACAGGAAGCTGTTTGGAGACTCTGGAAAAAGGCAAGCCATTTGTGGTAGTTGTAAATGAAAAGTTGATAACAATCATCAACTGGAATTGGCAAAGCAGCTACACAAAGAGGGACATCTCTTCTACTGTACCTGCAGCACACTTCCTGGGCTGTTACAGTCAATGGCCTTATCAACCCTGAAATATTATCCTCCTGGCCACCCAGAAAAAATTCCTGCATTTTTTAATAAAGGTGTTGGATTACAAAAATAAACATTAAACTATTAACAGTTAAAAAATACCCCCATATATAATCCATTAAATGTGATAAATTCAAAATAGACAAATACATTTACAGAATAATATAAATATACTACATACACCCATTGAATTTTTAGGCAATTTTATGGTATAAATTTTGCATTTGGGTCTAAACCTTATTTGAGTTCATAAATGTAGCCGATTTTCCTAATCTTTAATATGTAGTGAGCCTTCATAGTTTTCTCCTAGAATTTCAAATGGATTTGGAAGTATTTTTTAAAATAAGCAAGGTATGATGATGTACACCTGTAATTCTAGCTCTGAGAAGCTGAAGCAGAAGGATCATGAGTTTGAAGACAGCCTAGGCTTCACAGCCAGACTGTCTAAAAAAATCTAGAAAAATGTCAACAATTATAATTGAAGTTTGATATTCTTTAGAGTATAAAACAGTAACAAATTATTTTTGCATGAGAGCATCTTTAGCTTCGTGATTCAGAGAACTATTTTTTTTCCAAAGCAGCAATGATGAAGAGCTTAGTAGTTGTTTAAAAGTAAAAAGATGACCAAATTTTGTTGACGCATTATACTTAGAGAAATTACTTTTATCCTGAAAAAGAGTGAATATCTATACTTTTTTATTCTAAAATATAAACAGAATGTGACAAAATAACCTTGGTTAATGTCAAAGCTTTAAAGAGTAGAACAGACTAAATCAAGAGGCTGGGAAGGTGGCTCAGTGGTACAGCACTTGCCTTGCACTTGAGGCCCTGGGTTTGATTCCTCAGCGCCACATAAGCAAAAAGAAAAAAGCCGGAAGTGGCTCTGTGGCTCAAGTGGTAGAGCACTAGCCTTGAGCTGAAGAGCTGAAGGACAGCGTCCAGGCCCAGAGTTCAGGACTCACGACTGGACCCAAAAAAAAAAAAAGACTAAATCAAATAGTATGTATATTGTCTGGGCACCAGTGGTGCATGCTTGTAATCCTAGCTACTCGAGAAGTTGAGATGTTAGGATTGTAGTTCAAATCCAGTTCTGGTAGGAATGTCCATAAGACTCTTCAATTAACGATTAAAAAGCTAAAAGTGAAGCTAAGGCTCAATTGGTACAGTACTAGCCTTGATCCAATAAAAACTCTTCAGGGACAGTGCCCAAGCCCTGAGTTTAACTCCCAGGACACACAAAAAAAGTTTGTATATTATACAGTAGAATTTGCTGTTAATTTTGAAGGATATTCTATCATAGTGATAATGAAATATTTACTGTATGAGAGAACTTGACATTGCTGTTTTACAAATGAATAATAAAAAAATGTGAAGAATGGGTTAAATTTAAAAACAAAACTTGTCTTTGGGATAACTATATAATCAATTAGATGCAGATGGTTCCCCACTTAGATCTTGACTTTACTTTTTTTTAATTTTATGTTGGTGCAAAAGTGTATTCAATAAAAACCATCCTACAAATTTTGATCTTTTCCTGGACTAGCAATATATGGTATTACACCCAGTTCACTATGTAATCACCACAATAGTACGCAAGGGATACTCTACAATATTGTGTGTTCCCAAACAGTGGGTATTCATTAGGTTAGGAGCATTTGATGCATTTTCAACTTACAATCTATTACCATACAATATGTTTATCAAGATATAACTTCATCCTAAGTCAAGGACATATGTATTTCACATTTAGATCCTCAGAATATACACGCAGAAGACACTGTAGTTTAAAGAGCCAAATGAGTAAAATTATATTCAACAGTATGGAATTTTTTCTATGAACTAGAAATGTCCACCATAATTTGCTATGCTTAGGTCCTAATAGCATAATTCAAGCATAGTTTAAGACAATGAGACAACATACACATACAGCTGGCTGGTCAAGCACACTCCAACAATATCTAATCCATCTCTACTGCACAATCCCAGCTCCAGACTTTCTCAAGCCTTTAGACTGGACATCAACCCTTAGAAGTGAACTCCTACTCCCCTAACTCTCAATGCACACTACATCTGATGGTATTACAGCATAGATGAACCACAGCCCACTCACAGAATACCAAAGATTGATGAGTTACTTGAGGGACAGATTTCTTATTTCATCTTTGCATTCTCTAGGCCATGTAAATAATAGTATTTCATTAAAATAGGCTACAGTTAAATAATAGCTCTCACCTCAGGAAGCAATGATCATTACACAGATGAGAAAACTGTTACCAAAACCAGAGTGCAGAGAGGAAATTTCCTATGCAGTGCAGGTATGAAGATCCCACAGACTAACACCAGTTTCCAAAAATTCTTGGATATAAAATTCACAAAATAAATAACAACACTTTTCTAAAATTTTATGCATCAAGCAGGAACAGTCTCTGGGTTCTAAAAGGTATCTGAGACATATCCCAGGGTTACTTAATGGGACGTGAAGTTCAAATGTCACCAAAAGAAAGACCTTACTTGCTGTGATACATTAAATTCCCCAAATTCTACCCAAATGAAGTTTTTGGTAGGTTCACAGCCTAAATTTTCATTGATATAGTAAGTGTTCTCTTATAACAAAAAGACTATTTCAAGAACTTGACAAGGGATTTTTATTATTATTATTACATTGCATTCATTAGTAAAATGAGAGTTAGAGGAGGTAATAATTGATTTCACTTTTATGTCCCTTCTTAGAAGGGGAAAAAGGTGCAGGGAAACCAAAAAAGCTGGCAATAGGCAGCCCTTCTTCATCTTTACCTGCTCCATGAAATGCTAGGGTTCAGAGCAGACTACAGTTAACCCAGTCCCTACATGTAGCATTGCACTGGGGCTCACTGTGATCACCAGCCAACATATGCAATACTAATTAGGAAACTTAATTACTAATGTTTAACAGGTTATATGAAGGCTTCAAAGCTTCCACCAATAACTGCAAAAGAATGTCAATAGATTTTGCCATAAATTTAAGTTTTCACTTGTTTAGTCATGTGCTATATACTGTTTAAAATGAATCTTTTCATCCAAATGTATTTTAACCAACAAACCAACATATCACTGTTGTGAAATTTAAATGCATATGGTCAATCATTTCTTGCAAGACATACTTTTCACATTGCACAGTTTAGCTGTGCTTTATAACCAAAAACTATTTAAAAGACAATTTTTACTACCCCAAAAATGACCTAAAATACAATGAAAATATAAGCTGCCAGATGAAAATATAAGTCTAGAGCGGGGCACCAGTGGCTCACACCTGTAATTCAAGCTACTCAGGAGGATGTGACCTGAGAATCACAGTTGAAAGCCAGCCCAGACAGAAAAGCCCATGAGACACTTATCTCCAATTAACCACCAGAAAACTGGAAGTGAAGCTATGGCTCCAGCCTTGAGCAAAAGAGCTCAAAGACAGTGTCCAGGCTCTAAGTTCAAGCATCATGACTGACAAAAAAAAGAAAAAAGAAAAGAAAGTATAAATCTACTCAAAAAAAAAATAGAAAAAAAAAGTAGAAATGTGATGTGGAACTGACATATTTCTTCTTCTAGATTTGAAAGTTAAATATCTGTCAGAGACACTTTGCTAATTCCCCTCATTTAAAGCTCTGTGGGTTAAAGGTCTCCCCTACCTGCTCTCATTATAACTCAAGATAAACTTTTACTGTCAACTTTGCAAAGAATTATGTCCTATACTCTGCTACGAATGCTCAACTGACAAATCTGGGCATTAGTAACTAAACTAAAGGTACAATAGCCACAAAACATTTCAATAGTGAAAGATAAAGTAAGAAAAATTAACCAGAAAGAGACAGTGAAGTCATTTTACAAATAGCATTTTAAAACGTAACTTTTATAGCTAGCTAAAAGCACATTAAATTAAGTCTTAAGTAAACAATTTTGCAAAAGATTTTTCACCTAGAAAATTTTAATAACATAAAGCATTTAAACACTCCATAGAAGCGATTTCAAAGGGCCAGAACCCAACAAGTTAATAAAATCATTTAGAAGAATCATTTGATTGTATAAAGCCTGGGGGGATAAAGCTGTTTGCAATGTATTTACATAATTTACATCACTGAATTGCTCTACTAACCACAACTCTCATCTAAATGATTAAAAACACAAACCCAAATAGTTGAATAAAGCAATTACTTTAAAGTCCTCTTTTTCAACAGAGGTGCATTTTAAAATACAAATATAAAGTGCCCATTATTTCCAAGGGAGTATGCTATTTTAGAATACATTGTCCCATTGAGTAAACTCAGGCCAGGTTTCCAGACACACAATATGGAGCAAACAGTGAAGTAGAGACGGCTTTTTGCTCCTCTTAAGATTATACCAGGTGACATAGTAACAGTTCAATCTGAACACAGATGACAATTTTTTTTCATTTCTCCTAATTATTCTTCCTTTCCATTGGCATGCCTAGAGTTGAGTCTCACTTTCCAGGGAGTATGAACATCTCTTTATCACTCCAAAGCCCTAAAACTCCCCCATCCCAGAGTGTCCTCTTGCCCACTTCTTAGGTTACACTAATGACATCAAGATTGCTTCTAGGTAATTGACCAGCCTAAATACAGACCTATGTCTTCAGAGTTTGGAAGAGGAACAAGGCTGACCTGTTTATAAAAGTAAAGTAAATTAAGATGTACTCTTCTCTTTTAAAGAATCTTCCTTTTGCCTGTAATGAGAATATCACAAACTGAGTCTCTTCTCAGAAGGAGAATTAAAGCACCACAGGCCAAAGATCCCTAATGTACTCCTGCTCCTTCTATCTAGCTTATTTAACACACTACACAGCTCTAACTCTCTCAAGCATTCCTGAGAATGGACAGTCCATACAGTAAAACTTTCCAGGCCTGCATTAATAAAACATCAAATTTTTTTAACTCAAGTTCAAATTTTCAGTAGATGAATTACTTTTGGTAAGTCAGGAAAAGATGGAAGACATTTCCATTTCCAGCTAATTTCTCTTTAAAACAATAAGTAAACATGAAGGCTTATATTAGTCTAAAAAAATAAATGAGCACCAAAGTTAGTAGGGCTGACATTTAAGAATGTTCAAAATGTTTAGTGAGTTGCTCTGGGTTTACTTTTCCTGGCAGGAAGAAGGGCTGCTTTCAGATAATCAATGGAGCTTGCATCTTGTATGAGTAGTAACTGACCCACCAAGTTTTTACTCTATTCCACCCAATTGGCAGGGGAATAGCAAAGCTTAGCAGTTCATTTGGTTGGCACAATCCACAGACTGTCACAGTGGAGATTTTTATCCCTCTCTGTCTAGTTTGGGGATCCACTCCCTGCCCCCATATATGTTTTAGTCTTGTTATTCTTCTAACTAATCAACTCAGGTACCACTTCTCCTTTTGATTTCTACTATGGCTTCTAACATCATATTCTGACCAACCCAGATAGGTTCAAATATTCTGTTTGAGTGATTTCACTTAGCACTTCAAACACCATTCTTTTTTTTTTCTTTTTTTTCCTTTTTTAGGTACAAGACCAGGACTGCCACTTTCACTCACTGGCTAGCCCTCTATCAACTTAGCCACCACACCATTTTTAAACTGAAAGCTGTCACTGGAATTTGCTTTTCCTTCACACTGAGACTGGAAATGTCCATTTGCAGATGCAGAAGACTGATGCATCTGACAGTTTTAAAACAAATGCTAGATGGAGGCACAGGAGAGGTAGCTCACCAACAGGGGAGGGACAAAAATCAAAGCAGAGTACTCCCTGTTCTAATAAAAACACATCCTGGAGATGCTGAAATACATATTCTTGTAAAATTACTGCCCATATTCCACGAATTAGATAAATATGTGCAATCTTTTCTATCCAGGATCTCCATGTTATGACGGTTCAAATGAAAAACCAAAAATGGTACCAGGTGCCATTCTTGGGGCTTATCCAAAGGCAGGCAATTCTGTTCACCTCACATTAACTAATAATAATATTAGCGTCCAACAGTATTTAGATTAGGCAAATGGAATTGAACACCTAACAAAAAAAACAACTCTCAAGATTCAGGTCCTCACGGTGGGTGTGTGATGGCCAAGAGATTAGGAGGAGTTAAAAGGGTTGGCAAGCAGCGTTCCCCCAATTCTTAGGCATATACATTATTATCAATTCAGCAACTAAAAGCAAAGAAAATCAAACTATCACCACGCTCTCCTAACATCTCCCCCTCTGCACCTGAGATGATCAAATCCAACCACCCCAGCTGCAATACCTCCACTTAAAGCAAGAGGGAAAAAAAGCCTGTATAAACGTTAACAAACTTACCTAATTTTGACAAGATTGTGCAACACCAAAAGAATCCGCAGGGTGCTTTTCCCAGGAGTGTTACGAATATGACTACTCTGCAGGGATGTCTGCGATTGAAACTAATAACACTATTCTGCCTACTCAACTTTCTTCCTCTTCAATGGAAAGCAGCCTCCCTTTTTCAAGAACGTAAAATAGTAAATAAATATACAAACATCTCAATGCTTTACTATGCAATGCCCTACGTAACTGTCTTTGGCAAAACCATGTAAATTTCTTCCTCCAATGAACTCTAAAAGTGAAAGGGCTGCCACAAACGACGGGAGGACCAGAGTTTGCAGTCTGAGTGGCAGAGGAGGTGAGACCCTTCCTCCTAGGACCCAGCGCTCCCCAAATACTCTGGAGAGAGAAGCCCTAGTGTACACAGCAAACCCTCGCCAAGCAATGCTTGGGGTAAGATCAACCATTAGCAGAGGAGAGGCAAAAAAGACTAAAGGGAGGGAAAAATAAACCTCTGACGTCCTGGGAAAAGACTTGGAGGTGAATGCGATTGGAAGCCGGGATCCTGATAAGGAGCGGTAGGGAAAATTGTGCCAGGACAGGACAGGAGTGGCGGGGAACAGGGAAGGGCACAGCCTGTCGGGCACAAACTCGACCAAGTGCAGGCGGGGGGCGACGGGTCTCACCTGGGGGGTCCTCTCCGCGGGGTTCTTCATCACCGCTTGGCGGAAGCTGTTATCCACGTAGGACGCCATCTCCCCCCACGGGCCGGGTTG